TTGTTGGCGGCGTGATCCTAGGAACCTGACACTCTCTCTCCTACGTGATCATCGCACGCCTCAACTGTCATCCATCTGTCACTCAAAAACCCTGTTCAAATTTCCATAAGAGATTTGAAACGATTTTTCTCTCTCCTATCACCCACTATAAAATAGCCCTCTACACCACCTTTTACCTCTTTACCGCCTTCAAAATTTCCAAAGCGCAAATACTCCCAAACAGTTTCCTGTTCATCATCTTCTTCATACCTGCAAAAATGGCTGATTCCTCTTCCATTCATGCTACCTCACAGATCCTTCCCATTCGCCCACAACAATGTCTGGTCATTGATCTTAACCCACTAGTGTACGACTCCTATATGTCGCCGGTCATAGAATGTTTGAAGTATTCCCAACTTGTTCCGGCTCTCTCCAGAATTGAATATGTGCCAATGGTGGCCTTATCGCAGGTTTACGCGACTGCATACTACGACAAGGCCATCGACCGGGTGTTTTTCAAGATTGCAGAACACAAGACCTCAATCTCTCGCCAACGCTTCTGTCACTTGCTAGGGTTTGCTGTTGACCCTTCACGAGTTCATCCGGATACGATTCAGATTGGTCATCTGTATAACATGTTTTACAACATGGGATACACAGAGGTTCTCACCTCTGTCGCTAAGTTTAAGAAGTCTTGCCTGCCGCCACAGTGGAATGGCCTATTTACAGTCCATTTCAAGGGCTTGTCGGAAAGGAGCTCAGGATCCGACGGTGCAAGTCGTCTCTTCCTAACAATAATGTATGGGGTTTACAACGGGATTAACCTGGACTATGGGTTTCTCCTATGGCAACAGCCTATTCAGAGCCTCTCCTCATCATCCCGACACTCTGAGGTGTCGTTGGCCCAGTTCTGGATCTTGATTACACAATGGGCAATGGATAAATTTGATGTTCCTACTGCTGACGGTGCATCGATGTCTTCTATCGGTACGTTCCATACCAAGAAGATCATCGTCTCAGATGCATCGAAATTTTCCTTCATTGGCTCCATCCCGGAGTCAATGTATGGCGACGTGCCATCTGACAGCAGGTTGATTCGGAAGATCAAGGAGCTTAGGCCATCTGGTCCAAGGGAACTGACATCGGATATGCTCAGGTCGATTCACGATGCAAACAAACCGGTGAGCAGGGGCAAAAAGGCAGAAAAAGGGAAGCAAACGTCCAAAGCTCCAAAGGGACCTTCTCCCAAAAAGAGGAAACAACCGAAGGCTGCACAATCCCCACAGCCGAAGAGGAGGAAGACTCAACAGAAGCGAAAGCTTGTAATTCCCTCTTCTTCGAGTGACTCTGAGGGTGAGAGTTCGGGTTCTGACGGCTCTCAAGGAGACGAATCTCCTCAACGAGGCAACACACCACCTCGGTCCCCTACCCCAGAGATGGAACTTCCCAATTCCCCAGTTCCTTCACCTCCACCAATCTTTACCACTGCAACCGAATCACCTCACGTAACCGAACCACCACAAACCGAAACCCATGCAACCGAAACTACCCATACTCAACCACCACCCAAAACTATACCAACACCCACTCAACCTGATCCTACCAAACCCACAACACCCCCAACTTCACCCCCCCTTCATCTCCTGAAAATGCCTCTGATGGTGAAAACCCTTATCTTGGTGGTGAACACATGATCTTTGATTCGGTCTACTATAGTCCGTTTCAAGTTCAGAGTGACGAGGAGGATGATGCTCCAGTGACAAAGAAGCATCTCAAAGAGCTTAACGAGAAGATTGACCTACTTCTCGCCTCCTCTTCCAACCAGCAGTCCTCTCTTTCTGAAGCTGCCCTTCAGAAAATTGTTGATGCCTTCTCCATAGCTCAACATGATTCGGTGGCCTCAGCAACTGCTACGATTGATGCCTCCACTAGAGCCTGTGAGGCAGCGACGCAAAAGTCGATAAACTATTCTCTGATGCTTCTGACCTGCTGAAGTCCTTGCAGGAAAGCACCCATGCCACCAAGACATCTTTGGAACCAATTGTTCAGCAATTGGCCAACTTTGTCTCATCGGAGTTGACTTCATTCGCTACTCTTCGCCAAAACCTAAGCGACGACAACTCGGCACTTTGTGCCTCCATCGATGCTCGCCTCGCCAAGCTACAAGAGGATCTTGCAACTGAGCATTCGTTGATGGACGATTTGGCGAGCAAAACAACCGCCCTCGAGGTCAAGAGCACAACTCTCCAACTCCCAACAACAACTGGAAGATCTTCGATCCGAAAGGGAGGTGATCAAAACGTGTGTTTCGGATGTCCACGCCGCAATATCCAACATCCCGGAAACACACGATCCCATTCTAAACTTTTCGGTGAGGCGTTCCCTCGCGAAAAACTCTCTCGGCCATCGATCTTCTCAACAAAGTCGAAGGGCTACCGAGTTTCGTGTCCATTCCGAAACAAGGGGAGATGAGAAGACAGGATCGAAACCACCTCCTTCCTCCAAAGCTACTCACACGACCGAACATCTCCGACTGGTCAAGCTTTAGGCTCGGGTGTGAAGAACAAAGGCAAAAACTTAGCTGAGGAAGAAGATGAAGAAGGAGACAAGGAGACCATTGCTGACATTTTAAAAAGAAAGAACAGTCGCAAGGTTGATGATGATGCCAGTCGTGTGGCGCGAGAGGCTGAAGAAGCGAACGCAAACAAAAGGAAGCCCACGATCTCCTTGAGAGCCGAAAGACTCTCTTCCCTGCCTGGACCAGGGAACGTTTGATTAAAGAGGCCATAGAAACTCCTAGCATTTTATGGCTCGAGCCGGTTATCTCGTTCGACTGCAACAACACTGTCGATTCGCAGTTCGATATGCCGCTGACTCGAAAGGCGTTCATCTTCCACGTCTTCTCAAACATCTTTGAAGTCCCTCACCCGAATGCTGAGCTTGACAGGGAGCTCATTGACTTCTATCTGGCGGCTGCTCGTCCTCAATACCTCACTTGGAGCGCCCAGAAGATTGTAAACGTTCGGGTGCTGAAACCTTATACCGAAGGTCGTTTTATAAACGTTCGGTTCAAGTTGATTCGGGGATCTGCAAGAACTGCTCATATTATCTCCCTGGCAGATCTACCGAATCTAAATCCTCATGATTGGATTGTCCTGTATAATATCCTTTTGACTAATGAAGCCGAATATGGTCCCATTCTAGACCATGTCAAAAGGATGTTAGCCTGCTACATCATGGAGGTTGCCCTAATGGATCAGGAGGTCGCCACAGTCTTCAAGAAGAAACCAAAGATTGCTCCTGTGGGATCGGCCAGTGATCTCAACCAAATGCAATTGGGCAGGATCGACCCGAGACGCAACTCGGTTATGTTCACTAGAGCGGAAGGACAGAAATGTCTCTTCGCTTTAGCTGACAAGCACCTTTACACCACAACTTGTTTGGAGCATGTGTTATTCATTATCAAACGGTGTAAAGAGAACACGGCTGATGACATCAAGTACTTCGAAGATATGATTAATTGGTACATTCGGTTTAGACAGACCATTCTCTCCATTACCAAATGTTTGTTTAGCACCGTGAAGAAGAAGGTGCCTGCTTCAGCTGCTGGCCCAAGTAACTAGTGAAGGTCTCGCTCCAAATTGACGCAAATGGGGAGATTGTTGGGATGAAGATTATTTTGAAGATTGCGTCTTTTGGGCTCGATAGCATAAGTTATTTTGTATTCCGTTTCGGGCCTGTCCAACCGTGAACCTTTTATGTTTTGTATATAAGTCTACGCTTGCATGCATATTAGGTTAACGTTTTTAGAGATCTACGAAATAGCGATTCATCTAGACGATAACAGGTTTCTTTAATCGTTCTTGTAACCTTCCAATCCTCTATAGTTGATGTTCCTAATAGAGCTCTTCTGAGGATTTTGTTTAATCATTTGACACGTTTGATTCCATCTTGACTTGTTCTTATTATTGCGTTCATACTGTTTTATGTTTATTACTTGTTCAAGATCTAATCGATCTTTGTAGATTAAAGGTTAGTTTAATCTCATCAAGTCGGGTAGTTCTTTTCATGCTCTTTTAGTTGTCGAGATGCATATGCTATCACCTTTTCTCTTTGGGTCAAAACACAACCCAATCCAACCCCAGACGCATCGCTATAAACAACGAAGTCTTTGACTCCATTGGGTAGAGAAAGTATCGGTGCCTCGCATAGCTTCTTCTTTAGCTTCTCGAATGCTTCTTTATGCCTATCACTCCAAGAATAAGTAGCTCCTTTGTGGGTTAAAGCTGTCAATGGAGTAGCAATCGAAGAAAAGCCTTGGGTAAACCTTTGGTAATATCCGGCTAATCCTAAAAAGCTTCGGATCTCCGTGGGACTTTTCGGTTGTTCCCACTTCATCACAGCTTCGATCTTCGCTGGATCAACCATTATCCCTTCTTGATTGACAACGTAACCCAAGAATTGGACTTCACGAATCCAAAAATCACATTTGGAGAACTTAGCATATAGCTTCTCCTTCTTCAAGACTTCTAACACTTCTCGCAAGTGTCTGCCATGCTCCTCCTGGCTTTTCGAGTGAATCAGAATGTCGTCTATGAACACTATCACGGATTTATCAAGGAACGGATTACAAACCCTATTCATTAAATCCATGAATGCTGTCAGAGCATTGGTTAGTCCAAACGACATAACCAAGAACTCGTAGTGTCCATATCTAGTTCTGAACGCAGTCTTCTCTATATCCTGCTCTCTTACTTTCAGCTGATGATATCCTGACCTTAGGTCAATCTTCGAGAAATAGCTCGAACCTTGTAGTTGATCGAATAGGTAATCAATCCTTGGCAATGGATATCTATTCTTTATTGTTGCCTTATTCAGTTCTCGATAATCAATGCACATTCTCATACGTTCATCTTTCTTCTTCACAAATAACACCGGAGCTCCCCAGGGTGATGAACTAGGTCTAATGAAACCTTTGTCCAATAACTCCTGAAGTTTCATCATCAATTCC